TGGGCGGAGCAGTGAGCCAGTCGCTAGCGGGGACTGCCGTAGAAACCTTCATGGACTTTGTGGGGTGGAAGACGGAAAGGGTGGCGCGGCGATATGTGGGGTCCACGATACAAGAGGAGGGTGTTTTCCCTAAGCGACGGCGAGTTCAGGGACAACACGAGCAGGAGAGGTTGTACATGGAGACTGTTGATCTTCCGTTGCAAGAAGGTTTCACGGATAGGTTCTCTGCCTCTCGGTAACGGAGGACAATAATGATGTGTTGTTGATATTTGTTGATTTGAAGATACCATGTAGCTAATCACCATCGATGCAGAAGTTTGGGGATTAAATTCAGGCAACGACAAGGGAAGGTTAATGAAAGGCATGAAGTATGGGTGGATCCCATGCCGTAGCAGGAGGCCTCATTTCAACCCAAACTCTACATCGCCGACGACTATTCCGCAGTATNCGACAAGGGAAGGTTAATGAAAGGCATGAAGTATGGGTGGATCCCATGCCGTAGCAGGAGGCCTCATTTCATCCCAAGCTCTACATCGTCGACAACTATTCCGCAGTAAAATAATGTCGAAATCATGGAACCACGAAGGGGTTCCGTGGATGAGAACAGATGAAATGGAGAAAGGCTTGCAACGAGTGCCCACGTGTGACAAGCCTTCCCAAACCAAACGGAGGGAAAAGTACGGTAAGAATAACAGCCTGCCCGCCCGCCCAACTGTGTTTTATTGTAATTTTATTACCGGGGTATTACTCTCTGCGCGACGGCCGCGTTGACGACACGAAAGACGTCAACGCGGGGGTAGTAACTCTGGGTGGAGTCTCCAGGCTTTTCGTAGCAGGAGGCCTCATTTCATCCCAAACTCTACATCGTCGACAACTATTCCGCAGCAAAAATGCGTAACTAATCCAGGTCTCCAGACAGGACTGTCAGGTACCGATAATAGTTGTTTCAGAATCTCGCTACCGAAAGACACGGCACCGACGTCAAAGTGGACGGAAGGCGCAAAGAAGGTAGAGGGGGGAGTACCCTGACATGCGGCGGTGCTGCAGGGAGCTGAGAGGTTGATGACCTTCTGGTACGAGAAGGAAGAAGAGGCCAGCCGACAGCGGGCGCTCAAACGAAACCACAAGCTACCAACCAATGGGGCGGGAAGGGGCAGGAGACGGACGAGACGGCGAGGGAAGAAAGCAAACGAGAAGAGGCGGACCGAGTGGCGCGATACGTGCCGGATTGAATTTCTTTCAGCCAATTCCCCCCCCCCCCAACGCTGCACCATTGCACCAACCCCCCACTAGTAGTGATGACGTACCATTACAATTTATCGCTGGTTGGTGGCCATGTTTGCGTGTTTGCTTGTCGTTAGTGGTCTCTCCCCCGTGTGCCTTTTTCTGTCTCTTATTTGTTGGTATTTTCGGCCTGCTCCCTTTACGTCCTCGCTCTTTTTATTTCATTTTCTCTTTCCTTTGACTGTTTCCTTATATTTTCTTCTCTTTTTCTCTTTTTCTCTCTTGTTCTGTGCCAAATGGCCTTGTTATTGCTTGCGTTGTGAAGTACCAAGATTGAACCAAGGGGGTATACCTCATTCTCTCCGGCCCGTGATGGTGACCCCTAGTCTCAGTTGTTACCCCGCATAGCGCGCAGAGGGAGTTGATGACTCCAAAATATCTGTATTTGATTTCTTCTATTGACGACTTGAATGTACATTTTTAGGGTAAGTTAGCCTACGACCACGGGGAGAGGGAATCGACCGCGGTGGTACTGGGTAGAGAGAGATCGGAACGGTTTTCAATGTGAAGACAACAACAACAACAACAACAACAACAACAACAACAACAACAACAACAAAAGTCCACAATAATGGGGAACCCGTGGTGGCAAAAACCCGGCACATACGACGCCGCGGGGAAACAAAACCAAAATACATACTACTACTCCAAACCACTCGGAAAAAGAAAACAAAATGATACAAAGTAAGAACAGCAACCGCACCGACCGGTCGAGAAAATAGCCCTAGGAAACCGATCAAAATAAAACAAAATAATAAGAAAGGTGGAACGGAGGACGCTTCACACACCCGCCTAAAAAAATCGTAGGGTGACGTACCAGCACCAGGCACTACGCGCCAGGGTATGGGAGTAATGGAGGCAACAGAACAAAGAGGCGGCAGATGGGCAGACATCCAGAAATAAATACAAGTATGAAAGCGAAAGCAACAGCAAAAGGGAGTTAGTTGTTGTTGTTGTTGTTGTTTCTCACATTAGCTCTATAGTCCACAAAAAATGGGGAGCCCGTGGTCTCAAAACCCGGCACAGACGACGCCGCGGGGAAACAAAACAAAAATAGGGTACAAACCACTCGGAAAAAGATAACAGAATGGTAAAAAGAAAAAAACAGGTATCGCACCGACCGTTCGAGAAAAGAGCCCTCGGAAACCGATCAAAATTAAACAAAAACAAGAATGAATAAAGGAGGACACTTCCCACACCCGCCCAAAGAAAAAATCAAAGGGTAACTTACCAGCACCAGGTACTACGCACCAGGGCATGGGAGTAACGGAGCAAACAGGACAAAGAGGCGGCAGATGGGCAGACAGCCAGACGTACAAAAACAAAGGCAAACGCAAAGCGAGATCAAGGTACCCAACACAGCATAGTAGTCAGGGAGGTAATGAAAAAAAGAAACACAGCGCAGAGGCCGAAGGCAATACAAAGGACATACATAAGAAACAAACACAGAAACGCAGCACAGAGGCCGAAGGCAATACAAAGGACATACATAAAGGAGTATAGCATACAGCAGGGAGGGAAACAGGGCCCAACAACATCAGCCGGGTACATAGTTCGCCACAAGTGCTGCCTCGGCCGCCCTACTCGCTTCTACAGCAGTGCCCGGTCGCCGTTTCTTCCCCCCCATCGCCGCTTCCCCGGCTCTCTTTCTCTTCGGTCCTGAGGTGGCCGTACTCTCTGCTTCTGCTCCCTCGCGCGCTGGCGCTTCGCGGACGCTTCCGCCTCCTGCCTGTGCCATTTCCTCATGAACCATGCCGCCCCGTTCCGTCCTCGACCTTGTTGTACCACACCTCCGGGTCCTTGGCGCTCTCTTTGCATTTCCCCCCTTCCTTTTCGTCTCCCATGTTGAAGGCCACGAGGTCCTCTCCGAGACGAGACACCCAGTCGCTCTCCTGCCCGCCCCGGTATCCCACGCGCCCCGCCATCGCTCCTAACAGCATGCGCTTGGGGAGGCGGCTGTCCTCCATGCGTGTATTAAAGCCCGCGAAACACAGTCTCCGTTTGCGCACGGTGGCCTCGATGGTTTCCTCGCGGCCTGCCGGGATGAGGGTCAGTATCCAGGCAGGAATGTCAGGTATCGAGCCGTTTTCTACAAGTGATTTACACAGGCAAGAAAAATGACGACAAATCCTCGTCCATCAATGCACCTTTGTTAGTGGTTGTTCCAGGTATAGGCGCGTACCCCCACCCATTCCAACCTCTTGGCACTGCTGTGTTCTTCCTCATCGCGGCCCCGCATGTGTTGCTTATTATCGCTCCAGACCTGCTTGCAACACTATTCTACCTACGTCCCACTAGACTGTAGTCTACATGTAGAAGCGAACATGCTGCGCATGCATCGGAGCCGAGTCCAAATACCACACACCCTCATCCGCCCAAGATATCCCACGGTCACTCGTCTCCTCTAGGGTTCTTGTTACAAGGAAGATATCCTCCTACCTTTCACCGGTGAGAATCAGTTGTTCACTCATTTTGGAGGGATCGCCTTGTTCAGCGGAGAAGGCCGCTTAGGAAAGAAAGAGGAATTAAAACGGGGTGTAGGTAAGCGCCTACCCCAGCTTCCCCGGCTGAATTGGCACATGCTGCTGTGTGCTTGTGCGTCGTTCGTCCCATTTCTTCCTTGACGGAAACTAGACTACTACATATTTCCACTTCAGTTTTTTTTCTGGGCGCGAACCATCGGTCCACAAACGTTACGCCACGGCCTACGGTGCTACAACAGGACAGCATATTTTTTTGTCCACTTAACCTGCATGTGGCGTGGTGATTGTTATTTGTCCATTGCAGCTGGTTCACTTTCTGTCAGTACGAACTCGTGACGTGTTCAAGCGCACGGACTACTAGACCAAATCGCACCACGGCCAACAGGTTGGGATTTCAGTAGTGCGGCGAAAAGGATCGCGACGGCATTGGGGGGAATCAGTGACCGGAGGAGGAGGAAACAAACGGTGATGGAGGAGGAACAGATGACGTGGAAGAGAGCAAGATTTTCCAGGTAGATAACCTTCCTGACGACCAACGTCGCAGTAACAGAGAAGACCTGCCAGAAGAAGTGGGGATATGTATTAACGACGAGACTGCGAAACGAACGCGCGGTCAAAGTAGTAGCCTTGCTAAGCAACTGCACTCTTCCTCTCTCTGTTGCTACCGCTTCCGTCTTCATTCTGGAGAGTAGTTTCCCCCCTCCTTACAATCCCCTTCGTCCAAGATCATGGCCTTGGGCAGGATTTAATTTCATTTTTGGAAGCAAGTTTGTTGTGTTTGCGATCACACCGAGACTGACATGTTGTCATTGGTTAGCCGGTTAGCACGGTCGACTCTAGGCCAATACGTTACTCAAGGCAAACACGGATCATAGGGACTTTCGCGATTTTCTCAACACCGAGCCGATCGTTATCCTCCGTCCTTGCCATTTGGTTCTGCAACTGTCCCTGTTCCGAAACCTTCCAAAGTTAGAGTTCCGAATGGGTCGTGTCGGGAATGAGAACGCGTCTAAACCGGGATTGTGATCCTCGAGTTCCTGCCCCGACCCGGAGTTAGAACTAGGGGACCAAAAGTGTCATTGTCGTTGTTGCTGTTTGTTGTTGCTGTTGTCTTACATTGAAAGCCGTCCCGATCTCTCTACCCAGTACCTTCATCTCTCTCTCCGTACTGGTCAATGACTTGACCGAGCGATTCCCGTACTCACAGGCTATATTTTACCAAAAAAGAGAGAAGGCCATCCGGGGAAGAAACGAAGGGAGCAAAAGAGATCGGAAAAGACACAGAAAAGGGTGGCGAGTCTTTATCGGTTTTTCCAAGAAACAGACCCCGAGTTGGAGTTCATGGTGCGGCAAAACAACTACTTCCAGTTCTTCGTAGTAGATCGGCTGTGGGTTGAGGCTGCGCGCCATTTGCAGCTGTGTGGAGATGTGGACATGTGGCCGCGACCGGTGAGCTCCCTGTGCTGCGCGGGCCGGGAACATCCTCGTGCAAAGCTGGGATCACCCTCTGGCACATGCTGCGGTATATTTCCATCGTCACTGGTGGTTCCGGCTGGTGGCAGCATCTGCTGCCGCTACTTGTCGCGCTCCTGTTTGTCATCATGCGAGGAGGAGACATGTTCTTGTGCTGACGGGTTGGTTGTTGAGCCCGTTGTGTGTGGTGTACGGGTGTGGAGACTCTCCCTCGTGCCGTGTGGCAGCCATGTAGGCGAGAGCGCGACATCAACAGCAGCAGTACAGCAAAGTCGTGCCGTCTGTCCTGTTAGGAAATAATTCGTCATCTCACCTCGAGTAAACCACCTATTGGGAACTCGGGTTGCGGTTCGCTCATGTAGGGTGTAGAATAAATCCTTGTTGAAATTTTTGTTGATTTCAATCTCAAAGAATCTCCGGCGTTCTGACCCTGAGTTCAGCTTGCTGGAACTGCAGGAAATAAAGACAATTAATATGGTCTTTTCATTATATTCCACCTAATCTAACCGAGGGCTCCGCGAATCTTTCTGCTCTATTTCTGGGTCGGGGCGGGAACCCGGGGCGAAATGCAACAGTTAAGAAACACCCTGATCACGCGCTTCATGGTATGCTCGTAAACTTTGTTATGCTCATGAACATGTTTTTTTTCGGTGTCGTAGACGGTATTTCCGCTCAACCACCCCCACAGAGGCCCACCGAGCCCACTCCTCCCTCAGACGTTGTGCCTAGTGCGCGGTGGACTCTACAGCAGATCGCCCTTTCGTCTCACAGAAGCAGCCGCAGTGTCAACTCGTGCTGCTGCTTTCTGCTGTTGTTGTACTCAACAGGTGTACAGAGAACCATATTTTTTCGTTTCTGGTCGACGACAATCTGCATGCCCGGTGCGCGAAGATTTCCGGGGCTGCTGGTGCTTCTTCTTCCTCCACTAGCCAGTGCTCACCCCAACGGCGAGGGCGTTGGGGAGAGAGCAAATAAGGGCCGAAGAAGATGCCCCGTCAGGCGACAAGCGAGGGTTGGTACAGACCGCTTGCGGCCGTAATCGCTGCCGTAGTGGCGGTCCTCGTGGCGGTCATGAGGACGGTATCGGCCGTGGCACAGGGCGCGAGCGTCTCCACGGCTGCTGAAGGAGAAGCGCCGGCGACGATGCCATCAGAACTCGGGCCGGGTGGCCTGCAGAATAGCACAGCAAGGAGCAGGAGCAGGCGGTTGTAACACTACGACGTGACCAAGGAGGGGGCGCCGTGCAAGCGAAACCCTCTGCTGGATCGGGAGGTGGACCCCGCAAACTATGAGTTCGGCTGCGCGGACATCAAGATACCCGCCTTCCACCGCGCAGAACGTACCGAGTTGCGACGAGTGCTAGCATGCGTGTATCCATACTGCTTTTGTGCACGCTTCCCCGTGTTCACGCGGTCTCGAGAGCATGACGTAGTCCCTTGTCGCATGACGCTTTGGAACTTACGGATCATGCTGGAGGGGAATAAGAGGCTTGTCGGCAGCGGTAGCGTGCGTGACGTTGTCCTGGTGAAGTACGAGGGACAGACCGTTGTGGTCAAATCGCTACGGAGAAAGGACGACCCAAAGGTCGAAAAGCACCGCCTCGTGATGCCCAAGCGGGAAGTGCATAGCTAGATGCAGTAAGTGAAAACGCATGAAGCAGCGTATTCTTGGGCGGTGATTCAGCTGCGAGACCACCGTGCCATACTCACTCGCTCTACAGTTGTTACTTTTCGCGCTCTGGGGGGGGCTGTACGCTGTAGGACACTCGTTGGGGCCGACAGACGAAGGTTTCGTGTCTGTTTGAGACTTTTGGCACCCGCTACAGTGCCTCTGATGCTACCCGGCTGGAAGGCAACTTTATTTAGAGGCGCGTGGTTGTACGTACTCCTGGAGGGACGGGTTTCCTACAGGGACGGGCATGTTGATACAGTGTCTTACAGTTCGACGACGGAAACGGCAGCTGAATTTTGCGCGAGAGAGAAAAGAACAAAATCGCCATGAATGCAGGGTGGTGGGGGAAATATCGAACCTTAACGGTATGGCTTTGCTTCTGTGCAATCCGAGCTGGTGCGCCCGCAACATTCCGGATGGTGTACAACTGACGTCTAGAACAACTGCGATAATACACGCCCACACATACATCAGTTTTAGAATGCTCCGGGCTTCGTACTACATTCATTCTTAGCGGGCATCCATTCCCTTCCAGCTTGCCCACCCTTCATCTGACGAAGCCCTACAGCTTTAGATGCGCAGCAACCTACAATCGCGTTTTCCGAATCTGTTTATCCCCTCTGTACGAACCAGGCGAGCCTTTGACGCCCGGTGAAGGTGCTACACGACGGTCTGATATTGCCCTCCGACCCTTCTTTCCCCTGTAACAGCGTGCTTGTCACAAACAGTTCCAAAACGTTCAGCAGAACGCCGCCGCACATGTCATTACAAGGCCATACTACGTGCGGGCGGACCCCCAGGAGAGTGATCGATTTCTCCCTGTACAACTCGATCGCGGCATAACCAAGTTGCTGCAAAAAATGACGAAAGGGTCGGCGATTGAAAAGAGGCCGAAAGCTATTCCTTGCGCATGTCGGTCGGGGTTCGCGCCCGTTTGGAGTTGTGGAGCATTCGGCTGTTCTAAACCGTTCGCACGCCCTTGCCTGCACGTTTCCAGCAGTACCCATGGGTTTCATCCATACATGTCGGCCTTCTTCACACGATGTTGTCTATCAAGCTGCAAATGTTACTTGTCTTTGTCGAGAGGTCGCAAGTTGACAAACTCGTGGCACTTTTAGGTCAGATGCTCCGGGTGGCTCCAGTGGGAACCTCTCGCACCACTCAGAAACGCGGGGGGGGGTGTACGGTAACGGTACGGACCAAACTGGCAGTTTCAACGATGAGAATGATCCCGAAGTCAAGACATGTTTTCGGAAATCTCATTTCAAAACGATTCCAACGCCGCCATTCTCGGCACCGCCACTCCTTCCGCTGTGGCGTAATCTAGCTTTGAAAATCGGTGCAGACGGTGTTTTATCTTGCGTTTCCAGCGGTGGTCTATTACATCGAGACCCGAGAGCAGAGGCTTCACCGCCGCAGTATATTTTCTCACTACCAATGTGTTCGCTTGCACCACACGTCTTCCACGCCACTTGCTCGCGACGATGCTCTTTCCATCCAACGCGGCGCAGCTGAGGGGGAATCGCAACATCGTCGGCATGCTCGGTGTGTGCGGCACTACCGTGGCGAGGGAGTACTTCCCGACCAACGTCGTGATCTACGCATTCCAAAGCAGAGAGCGACTATCGATTCGCGCGATCGTTTCCATGTCGCTGGACGCCGCAAGAGGGCTTCAGGTGTGACGTGTGTTAACGCGTGATTCGTGTGCATTAACTCCAGACGCTACGGGTAGCTATTTCTCAAGCTTAGGGAAGATTCCTCCTCCGAGACCCTACGTGCGTCGCAAAGGGAGCAAGACCAAGAATCACGTCGGCATTCGTAGGTAGGGTGTGAACTAACAATGGTGCGTTTTTCCCTGGTTGTGTCTCAGAAGTCTCGTCATCGTTCTCGTCGTCGTCATCGCTGCCTATCTTTTTGCGGGTTGGTTGGTGCGTGTTGCTCTCGTTCGTCTTAACACGGCTCTGCACGAAGTCGGTTGCGTCCACGTCGACTTGAAGCCGATGCAGCTGCTGGTGGACGACAACCGGCGCGTGATGGTGAACGACTCCAAGCGTCCACGTCATGGACATTAGCCCTACCGACGGGGCGTTCTGCCCTGTGCATGCCAAGAAACGAAACCGTCTCGCGCCCTGGCCGTCGCCCGAAAACTACGCCGGGCAGGTACGCCGCAACTCAACGTGACTCCTCATCATGTGCCGCCACGATTTACGTTGATACACTTCCGCACCCGTGACGCATCTCCGGGTTCTTCAACCGGCCCCATAGGTCGCCAATCATCGTGTAGGCCCTTTGCCCATGAAGAGTCGTCGTCGTTGATCTCACGGATGTGCATCCTTTTCCCAAGAAGTAAGGTCTCCACTATCGACAACGACTTCAGGATGAATGGATCAGTTTTCTAAGACCGGGGTTGATGATCTGGCACCTCTCGACTAACAAAGGAGACGGGAGTGTTCATACGGTACCCGGCCTCAAACGTTGGACGAAACCGCCTCCCGCCGAACAACGTAATGCAAAGCTGACACTTGGCCCACAATCAACTTTGGGACTGCCAGCCCTTGATGCAGACCTCGGACATCTACAGCATGGTCATGTTTTTTTACTCGCTGCTTCCCGGGACAAGGCCATTCCGAGGTCCAGAAGGTCTGGCGGAGGCCTTTGAAACCCGAACTCACTCTCGGCCTCTCGTAGATCCTTCATGGCACAGGGGATTCGCGGAGATATGCAAGTCGATCTCGCGGTGACACCAACGTTTTCTGCTCCTTGCACGGAATCCAAGGCGTGTCCATCGTAGAGGGGTCCTGGGTACTGCACGGCGCATGTAACAAAAGAGATGCTTGAGTATGTTATTGGTCACAAGCGCATGCATAGCTTTTTGGCCGGAATTCTGCCTGTATCAGCTTCGCGCACTTTGTTCGATTTATATACAACGCTGTCGAACGGCTCAAGGATAGATCTCGGGGCCTCCCTCCTGTTTTTGTGCAGTGTTTTGCTATTGGCGGGCATCGATACTCCCTAATCCTTGATCGTCATTTATTGCCCGGCAGGTCGTCCAAGACATGTGGCATGAGGATCCCATGAGAAGACCCCCGGCGAGACAGGCTGTCGCGCGGTTGGAGAGTGTTCAGGAGGACCTGGGGCCGTATCGAGAAACACACCGCCATCGATCTATGTCGTATCACACTCCTCAATCTTGGCAAAAACACATCGTATTTTCTTGGCAACGGGCCGCGTCGTGTGTTGCTGCCCCCCCCGGAGAACGTCGATGTGCAGGGTTGGTTGTCAACTGGCAGGGGAGAAACGAGCGCGGTTTTCGATATGATTTCTGTAGAGGGAATTGTAAAAGGGCTGTCCGGTACAATAATCGTTAGGCATTAGATGTTAGGTCTAAACGATAAGGTTTTCAATTGAACATGGCTCATCCCTGGAATGTATTAAGACTGTGGTGCTACAACACACATTATTGCGTGTCGCGGTCAGCGTCGCGTCTTGAGATGGCGAGCGAAGGAGGAGAAGACTGACGATCGCAAGAGAGTTTTCGAATGGCCTCCTCGTATGCGTCGGACACCCTGAGCACCCGCTCGCTGGCCTCTCTCCTCTCCGTCGCTAGCTCTTTCTCTAGGCGGATCGCCTCTCTCGTCGCCACCGCGGCTTCCTCCTCCCTGCGATCCTGCTCGACTCCGCGAACAGCTCCACCACCGCCCCCCTCTACCGGTGCTGCGGCGATCGCTAGCCTTGCCGTCGTAGCCACAACGCCATCGGGTTCTCCTCCAGACATCGGCGAAACCCCTTGACCTTCAGGACAACGGCCGCGCTTGACCTTCCTCCCGATGTACCCCGCTCTCGCTTGAGCGGCCTTGGCTCGGGCAACGGCTGCCGCGAGTGCTTTCTCCCGATCGTCCTCCGCCGCCTGCTCTTCCGCCAGGACCGCCAGCAGCTCTCGGTCGTACCTGCTCCGCAGGAGATCTGTGTCGGACGACGACGCCCCCGGTTCGCCTCGCGGAGACGGCGGCCGCGACGACGGCAAAGGTGGGCTCGGTGCCGTCGTAGGGGTGCTGTTCGCGTCCGTCGAGTAGGAGGATGACATGCTCGTGACAGCCTCGGCATCGTCGGTTCCGCTTCCGAGTTCGTCACAAGCCCCCGCCAAGGGTCTTTCAGGGTGCAATTTTTCGCGGCCGGATTCGGAGGCAGATGAAGTGGTTTCCCCTCTGCCGTGCCCTAGGCCGTCCGCCGCCAACTCTTTCGTTTTGACCAAGTGGGTTTTTCTGCCGCGTGGGATATTTGTTTTTGATGCGGCTGCCGTTTTCGTGCCGCCACGGGCGCCGCCGCCACCAACACGTTTCTGGCCCGCTCTCGTGTCGTACATGTACCGCTCGCGAAGGCCGGCGGCAGCCGGATTGTCCACCCTAGCCCCCCGCTGGTCGCCGCTGCCGCGACCGCTACCCCCCCGCCTGTCACCGGCGCTTGTGCTGGGCTTTCTAGGGGAGATCCTGCGGTGGGCCGTCGCTCTAGCCGTCAGCGGAGGCGTCATTCCACCGCCACCGCCGCCGTGAGACCCGTCCCGGACTAGCAGCGACAACGAACTCGTGATGCTTGCCACCGAGGCGGAGCTTGTCGGCCCCGGCGGTGGACGAGGGGCTGCCCGGGCACGGGCCCCGGTTATGATGTCGTTTTGGGCGGGAGGAGGAAAGCGCGGAGAACCGGAATGAGCGGCAGGAGACAGAGAATCAGCACCACCGCCACGGGCGACGGACATGTCGGCGCAATGATGAGGTCCGGAGGGTCGCACGGCGCGGGGAGTGGTGGCATTCGGGCGGCGTGCGGCGACGGCGGCGGGGTCGGAGCCGCGGAGGCGGTTCCTGTCTCCTCCTGGCTCGGCAGCGGCGGCGGCGGCGGCGGTGGCTGTGGGTGCGGCGGCAGCGGTGCCCACTCCGGCTGCGGTCACCGCCGCGGCGAGCTCGCCATAGCTGATGCTGTGCCCGTTGGAGTGGTCCTACGTGTTGTGAAGGATGGATTCGGGCGGCACGAAAGGAGAGAGGGGGGTAGACCATGAGAGAGGGGGTTGATGTAGAGAGGCAAGAAACGGAACAAGAGCAGACGGCGGCGGAGAACGGGGGGGGGGACCACCGTGGCTTCCGTGTCCCTTGTGCATCCTGTGATATATGTACGCGGAAAGTGCGGCATGCTGGAGCACTCGCATCGTGTGTTGGCAGGGGGTGGGGACATTGGTCCGCACAGGTGCCGTAGCCGGTAACGGTGCGGGAGTAAGAACTTACCTTTAGCGCTTCGAAGTGCCCCTGCAGCATCTTCCATTGCTTTGTCCTGGTCAGGTTGGAACGCCGAAGCAGATTGAGTCGTTGGCGGGTGGAGGGGCTTGCGTTGGACCCCGAAAGTGTCGACACTCTAAGCATGGTGGACTCAAGGAATGGTTCTGTTTTGCCTGTGCACTGGGAGAGAGGGGAGTTGTGTTCCGGTGGCCGTTCTTCCGTCGGATGCCCGCCCAATGCTGCCTGCTGCAACGAGACAGTCTCTCTACTTGCATGCCGGATGATGAATCAGCAGAGGTCTCTTGGCAGTACTTCGCTACTACACCCTCTACCTCGGTGTTTGCATGTATGATCGTGTGTATGTTTTCACGCCCCAATATTCTGGCGCCAGCCTACACCGTTCGGGAAACGTATCGACGCATTCGCCGGTGTCACACGGGATGCAGGTAACGAAAATCCCCCGGGGGATTCAAGGATTTTCTGCTGTTGCGTTCGCTCACATTTCCGAAGATAGCTTCCCCCTCGTAGCCTGGAGGCGCTCCTTCTCTAGCCGGAGGAGTTCCACCTTGGCGTCGTCTTGCTCCAGCTTCAACCGAATAGCCTCGCGTCTGCACGGTTGGCGCGTGAAACACCCGACGGTATGTCAAAACGATTGGGGTCACCGTCGCCGTTGCCGTTGTTGCCATGGAACCTTTCCAAAAACTTTCATCGCCATCACCAACGTGAGATCGCGTTCTGAACGCTTGCTGCTATAAGAGCCGTTGGTGACGAAAACGTGTTATGAGACGTGCCGCACCTCTCTTTGTCAGTCTTGGCCTTCCGCTCCATCATCCTCTCCCGCAGCTCCTCCCTCTCCCTCATCTCTGCCTTTCTCCTGGCAGCTTCCCGCTCTTTCTTGACCTAGTCACAATGCAGTGCGGAACACGTTTGTTGCACCGCACAGTGAAGTTGTTCTCTCGACTTGCCGCCCGCCCTGCGTACCGCCAACTGGAACGTTGGCCAGTGTAATCGTGGACCCCCTATTGGGGTGGGTTTTGTAGTTCAGATGGCCGGGAAAGTACGAGAGAACAAAATTAATGTTCAAGTTGTTTTTCTCTTTTGATACGGCGGGTACCCGTTACATTATAAGAGCGCGTGAATCCGCCATGCGCATTCCCGCCCGTAATAGCGCCCACGGCCGCTGTAATTGGTTCGTGTCCCTGTCCATCTGGGCGCATCCTCGACTTGTCCGCCTAAGGTCATTCCAACCCTGGTAGGGCTACAAGAACGGGTACTCTTTCCAGCAAGCCACCCCCCACCCCCCCCGCCCCCCCGTCGAAAAACACACTGATCTGAAGCTCCGGGGGGTACCAACTCGAGGGAGAAGAGGGTTTGGGCACGCTCCGCACGAGATTGCCCGACAGCTTGATCTACGTGTGCATGGTACAACAACACGAGAGGCGTGTGCTGTTAGTCTCTCTTGACGCCCGTTCCTCGGCAAAGGAAAGGCTGCTTCCTCTTTCAGCGCAACGCCTGTCTGTGCCCACGACGGGAGACGGTTGGTCAACACAAGGTAGCGAAGACAGTATGGTGCCGGTTTCGGCTCGCCCAGGATGTTGCGTCACACCCCCCCTTCTCTTTCGACGTGTTTTTGTACCGTGCAGAGACGTGGGTGTCGGTGTCAAAACAGGGGGAATTTCAGTTGAGCGCAAGAGTCCGAACAGAGTCGAAATCCTCTTGCGCCTTTCCCCTCGAGCAAGATCTGCTTCTCGATCTACCACCATCGTCTCTCCTGCTAGCCCGACAAGGCCGAGACTTGAGTCAAGGGAGATCGTCCGTCCCGCCTCTCTCGCGCGTACGGGCGATCGACACCTCCCTACCTCGGCGACTACACGCATCATCCCCGAGCTCGACGGAGGCCCTATTGGACATGTTTCCCGTTGGCATTTTCCCCCCCATATGCAGCATTCCGAAACGCTTCGTCCCAGCAACACGGCAGAGACAATGCTCGTGCGGGCAGCCCCTGCCTCACCTCTCGCTGCTGCGCGATCCTCTCCTCCCTCAGCACCTTGCCCTCGATCTCGTCCGCCTTTCGCTTGGCGTCCCCCTCGATCTTTCGGCGGGCGGCCTCATGCCTCGCTCGGTTCAGCTCCGCGGCCTCCTCTTCGCGCAGCTCGCGCTCTCTCTCCTCTATTTCCTGGATCGGTGCGCGTAGAGCGGGAGCAAAGTTGTTGATGGGTCGCGGATGGAATGCAGAATGGTCCACCACTTTAACAAGTATTTCGTTGAGAAGCAAAGGCCCAAATCTTCACGAAAACATCGAAATAGGGCAAAGAAACATAACTCAGCGGTGGATGCTACGATATAATCTATGCATAAATTTGCGCTCGACGGTGTCGACGAAATGAGAAGCTCGACCCCAATTTTGACGTTTCCTATCTCCGTGCCCGTTCTGTAGTGCGACACCGACTGGCGTCGCTGCCATAGCGGTAGGTCGATGGTGAACGAAACGGATAGCGGTGGTCGAGATGGCCGGTTGAAGCGAGCCAAGACCGGACGCGAGGGTCCCTCAGACAATTCCGATGTATGGCAGTCATGACCGAGGGGCAAGGGAACGCCGGTCGACCACCGGGAGACCCAGCATCACCACCAGCGTTGAAGAGCAACACGTACCGTGGGTTCGAACCCAGACAAAAAAGCGCATGCTGTTGCACTTGTGCACCAGAGCACTACCCGACCCGGGTCAAGCACCGGGGGCGAACATTTGTGTCGCAAGCGGAGCACAATCTAGGGGAAAGCAATCAGCGACGACGACCACGCCACCTTTTGTCGCATGCGGAACGAAGCTACCCGGTCCTCCAGAGCGGCGGTCTGCCCCCCGGCCTTCTCTTGCAACGTCTTCGTAGCGGCGTCCCGCCGCCGCCGCGCCTCCTCTACTCCGGCCCGGGCGGCGGCCCATCTTTCGGCAGCGGCGGCCTTCTTCGCCTCGTGCTCGGATTCCCGAGCTCTGCGTGTTTTTTTCGTGTCGCGTTTTTCGTCCACCAAGCAGTCGGAGTGGGGGGTGACGGTGGTGCTGCGGGGTGCTGTTGGTGTTGGTGATGGTTGGATAGTAGTTTCGTGTGTCCTGTGTCCTCTCTCTCTCTCTCTGTTTCTCAATGCGTTTGACACTCATGGTTGATCCATCAGTAGCTGGTTAGGCGCTAACAAGCAGGTGTCTTGGTTACGAAGCTCAGTTTGAGGAGTCCTGGGCCCGAGGTGGTCATCTTCACCGTTCGTGGCGGCATCAAACTGGATGGATGCGTATGTGTTCATGTTGAGAACGTTAATCTGGTACGCGAAAGAGTTTGGATAGCCACGGAAGTCACCCGAGCTTTGAAGTCAAAGCTGTAATTTTTTCCACGAAGTGCTGACCCCGGCCACAGCGGTGGCCATCTAGAAGATGAAAACACTCGTGGCGATTCCCAAACCGTATTCGTATCCTCGTTAGGTATTCAGCGAAGAAAAGCAATTTCCTTTTCGAAGAATCAAATGTGGTTCGGGCAAGCGACGCCGATTGTTTCAGTGCTCCGCCGGAAGCGTTTAGGCCGAATATCTGCGGATCGGGATGAACCGCCCTCCCCGCTCTTCTCTCTCCATATGTCGCGTTCCAGAAGTTTTCTGCCGTCGGCGGAGATGTGCGTGCGTACCCCGGAATAATTGTGGAAACGTGGACGCAGTACAAAGTACACGCAACAAAATGAGTGTTGCGTGCCAACCGGGATGAATCTCGGCTATTTTTGTTTCGTTAGGGTTCACCATGCATCACCTTTTTGCGGTTTCGGCGGCGGCATCCCTCTCGGCGGCCTTCTGGGCGGCGAGCCTCTCGGTCCGTAGCTGCCTCGCCCTCCGAACGCGCGCGCCCCGGTCGATGCGCCCTTGCAGCAGGGCGGCCTTCTGTGCCGCCAGCCTCGCCCTCCGCTCCGCGGCCAGCTTGGCCTGCGTGCGCCTCAGGCGGTCCTGCTCATCGAACCGCCTGTCGCGCAGGTTGGTTGTATGTGTTGCTGGCGTTTTTCCGACAGGTATCAGTGGTCTTCATCTACCGTTTGTTTGCGTTGCAAGATACATTGCATCCATTAGATACGTGCGTGATTGTAGGTCCAACGTGATTATGATGAACAGGCGAGAGTCGTTCACGTGTGAAGGGAGCCACATAGCACGTGTCACACATACTCCCCTGAAAGCAGTTTGGGGTGGATTCGAAGGCCTCCCTTCAACAGTGCCTTGGGATACTGTTTCTCTTCCAAAGCAAGCTATATAGGGCCATCCTGATTTTGCCGGCCTTGCAGTTGTGCCTCGTGGCTTCAATGCTCAGAAAGCTGGCAGTAGTTGCTCCCCGGCTCTCCAGCCCTCAACAGACCGGTATCTTTCTTACAGTCTTTTCTACCGAGTCCAACCGTCCGTGTAGACTCCTGACGTGACAAATCGACAGACAGATAGCCCTTGACATTCCCTTTGTATGCCCCGCAGAGCAACGGGGACCTCAGGCGGTAGCCCGACCCTCCAAAATCTAACGGAGGCAAGCAACGTGCACAAGGACCGACACATGATCCAGAAAGCATCCCCCTCGTCGACTTCGAGGTATTCGCCCTCGCTAGAATGCGCTTTGAACCCCGTGATCTCCGTTTCAATGAAATTTATGCCTACGCCAGTTCAACTCTTGTGACTTTAGGACAGGTTAATGCGCAGAGGCACATGTAATCGTCCATTCGCTCACGATCGTGTGGGCGCCCTTTCCTCTCGCTCGTGACCCTGTCGCTGACGCAGCCCTATCACTAAAAAAGATACATCCTTCGCGCGTAAACCACAAGCAAGACGGTGTACATGTAGATGCTTGCGAAGACAACGGGGGGGTATTGGTAGATTTCTTGGGACATTCCCGTTCCTAACCTTGCGGCCTCGTCCTCTGCCACCCTCCTGGCTGCGGCCTCCCTCTCTGCGACCTTCTCCCTGTCCTGCCACGACCGCTCTCGCGCCAGGCGGGCCCGGTCGGCAGCCTCGAACATCTTTGCCCTCTTCCTCTCCGCCGTGGCCTCTCTGGTGCGGGCCTTCTCCGCCAGTTGTCGATCGCGCTTCTGCGGTAGCGCGTGAAATCGTATCGATTCGACGACAGTTTAGACCTCGTTCGTAAATGTGGGTAGAACGGCCAGCACCACCACGCTTTTGGCCGAAACCGATTGCGAAGTATTGGGCAGAGGCAGGCATGAAACCCCTCTGCACTGGAGTCATTGCCTTGAACCGAGACGTGTTTATTCCCCGATTTGAGACTTGTTGCTAGTCTTCGAGGGTAGCAACACCTTGCCCAGGATAACGACCATCGTCCCGATGCCAACAAGTGGTACCTGCTCTCTGTCAGACCTCAAAGGGAAGCCAAACACACCCACCTGGGATAGGTCCTACACAGGAATGACATGCGACTACAGTACCCTCAACGGAGACTGTTTTCGACACGCGAGCTGTCTAATCCACCACTGCGGTGGGCATAACTTGTATGTGGCCATTCACACGTGATCTGTTGCGTGCGCGCGTTCGTCTGAGCATCTGACTTGTGCCATCCGCTTAACGTTTTTCTTACAATAACACAACAAGATCATGTCTCCACAGGTAAGAGTCCGGGATAGACAGTGGTGCATGTCTACGGTTCCCCGGGCAGCACACCGCAAAATATCATTTTCCAACCTTGACCGGGTCCAGTCACCTCTCGCGCCAGGCCTCGGAGCTCGAAAGTCAGCATCTGCTGTAGCTCCACAAACCGGCGTCTCCTCAGCGCCTCAAGCCGGTAGGCCTCCGCCTCCAACACCGGGTTTCCAATCCCCGCCGCAGACCTGATGCTTGAGCTTGCGTTGTTCCCACCGACGCTACTACCATCCCCATTGTCGAAGGAGGACCAGGCCGCCCCAGACGCCAACGAGTTGCCGTCCCCGTTGTTGTTGGAGCGCGAAGGAAATGTATCTTCTTTCCTTCTGGGCGAATAGTACGGGCTCACGGGCGGAGTTGTGAACTGCCGTGATCTTGGGGTCGCCGGAACAGGTTTCGTTGCTGGCCTCGCCGCTGTGGTGGCGAACACGGCCGTCGTGCCGTTGATCGGGTGCCCTGCTCGGACCAGGTTCGACCTCTCCTTCTTTACCTGGACATTCGAAAGCATCAGGACCGGCAGGGCGGTTTTTCCGTGCTTACTCGCAAGGCCGTGAGGTAGATAGAAGTGCGAGATACGGTGAACACATGTTTTGAGGGACGAAGACAACACACAAGAGCTGGGGGAGGTACGTACTCGTCGGCAAGGGCGCCCAGAGCGCTTCCTAGGTTGCTTCACTCTCCCGAATATTGGCTACAAGTCAATCGACGTGTACAGCTATGCGCGAGCTCAAGATGTACTACTACCATATGGAGGTAGAGCAGCCGGAACAAGTGTTAATAACATTTGTGTCCCCACAATTTCCACGAAGAACGCCGGCACACAACTACACGGGTACCCAGACGCGCGTTGGTAGTTGGGCACCGATTAGTCTTCAACCTGGGCTGGGGAGGTTGCACGCCGAAATGTGCAGCTAGTCCCGCATGTCGTATAGTGGCGAAATCCCAACTAACTCGGCGGCTGACGGCAAAGACTAGTCTAGACTTGCAACGTGATCAAGGTCGACCCCATCCTCCTAACTCTTCACCCAAAACTAACTTTTGCAAGATGTCATCGGTGCCCAACCTTCCCGTCAGGTTAGTTGGCTTGTTCAACATGCTCACGAGGGTGCTCCTCGCGCGGATAGCAGCCTCTAGCCGCATATCTATCCAAAATCATGTCATACAGAACTGGCTGCACAGCACGACAGCAAAAGACCCATGCCGTGGTGTCTTTTGTCACCCTACTGACATCTATCGTCATGTAGGTATGATTTTTCTCACACGCGAAAGGCGAATTGGGACCAACGAATAAAACTGCTTTCTCTGTTTCTGTATGCTCGCCTCTCGAAGCAAGCGGTGCCGGTTTATCTCGTGACGCTCCTTCCGGATTGCCGGTGTCACGTCCGCCTTGCGTAACCCGTTGAAGTTTCGCCCTGGCCGTGCTGTCGGTGAGAGCGATGAAATCGCACGGCCACGCCTCAGCTTCAGCGGAGGCTGCCCCAAGAATGATTCTTCGGGCCTCTCCTCAAGGTCGCTTTGGTCTACCCCCCGCCTCCGGCACGCCTCGATTGATCGAGGGGAGTTGAAGGAGAAACTTCCATCGCTGCCCCCCATCGCTGATGCTACCATCGCTGTTGAATCCGACCACGGGGCTTCTGCGATATGTAATAATGCAGGCTCACCATGGAAAAATATGAACGACTAGGTAGGCCTTGCGTCTCACTGCTAAGTCGGGAGTTGCAGTATTATCGTGTGGCATTCGCCAGTTCGCTCGCAGGTGCCCGCCTGCTCGTACACACGTGAGTAGCGACTTTGGTCCTAGACGCTCATGGAGAAAAATCGTAAAATCGTGCAGTCCGTGAAGGACGTGCTTGGGGTGTCGTACAGACCGCTGTACAGCAGTAGTGCGACTCCGTCCTCAACAGTCGCCCAAGAGACTTACTCGTAAACTTGCATGAGATTTTCCATCTTATCGCATCCTTCCCCGTCCTATCCCTCTTATTCATCATTAATTGGCCGTATTCGTCGGCTCGTCGGTCCTTCGAAACGCGACAGCGGTCGGAAGTTGAACGGTAACACAGCAGCGGTTACCATAAACATGCCACATTGAGGTGGAAAACTTCCTGCGATGATTTTGCGGAGCCCCGGTGGGTGACGATGCTGCTGTGTGCAGGACCCATCCAGGCAGCACTCGCTGCACTTCCCAATGGCAAAGCCTATGACCATGACACCAAAAGCCGGCGTGACACGAGCGAGGAGACATCCATGCGTCGCCTTTGTCGCGTTGTGCGCCTGCCTTATTTGGAGAAGTCCCTCTGCGTGTGGCTTCCACTTCGCCGCACCGAGGACCAGCAGCAGCGGACACCAACGCAGGGCTACGCTGCCCCCCAGGTTGGCGCTTGGACGACCCCATCAAGCAAGAAGACGACGGCTGTCTTCGGCATGCGCAATCTCACGCGAAGGAGGCGCGCGGCGGCGGGAGTGGCTTTTGCTTGCCGAACACGTCGATGGTGATGGCCATGGACCGGAGCAGCCAGAGGTGGGTGCACTCGTTGATGCTCGAATAGAGCGAGGGAGGTTAAAACATTCTCATTCCCGCTGCTGCGGTGCATGTCGTCACAGCAGCTCGCCAAACCAGGCGTAGCAGCACAGCAGCGAGTAGTCTCGAAGTTATGAGTAGTCTCGCGGATTGGTACGCTTGTGAACGCTCGGAGAGGCGGCATCGAGTGGTGGTGTACGCTCACCGCAGCGGCAGGGATGATACGATTTACTCCGAGCTGAGGCCCTGGGGTTGTTGTGTGGATCCTTGGGTAGGACACAACAATGGCTGAAGCGGTTGCACCCTCTGTACGTTGCCCGGCAACTGGGGCACACTTCGTCAGCTGCTGGGAAATAGGCCTCTGCTTTTCAACCCTGCCTTCCAAGCGCAAGATTCCACGCTGAAATAATCGAATTATGTGTTTCGGTGCTTGGCCGAACAAGATGGCTATACACTACTCTGTGAAGACAACACTACAGTTAGGGGTGTCAAAGCGGCGGAATTTGGGGCCAAAAAAACGTCCGGTCCATTCGGCAAAATTTGAGGGGGGCACGCGGATTTGGTTCTTTTTTGGTTCTTGAGAATCCCGCTGTTAATACTGAATAAACTATACATCAAGTCAATTTGTTTGTACAGGTAGCTCTGCGTCCACACAGCAGGATGGCTCTTCATGCGTTACACACACCTTGATACAGGTCCAATAGAGGTGACTATAGGATTGGATTCTCTTGAAGTTAAAGGGCGGACGAACAACACCAAAAAAACATGGTTCTTTGGGCTCTTTGCTCCACGCCCAAGGCGACCTTTGCTCCTCTTGAAAAAGCGACCCAATAGCCCTCTACCTTGGGTTTACAGCTATACTACACAACAAACCGCATCCGAATCGCATCAGCCAACCACGAGATCTAC